TCCGGGTCTTCATATCGAGGACACTTTCGTCCATCGATGAGCTACTGAGATCCCGTTCAGTCTCAGCAAACACTTGTGCCGACAGAATATCGGCGACGTCCTCTGTGACGAGCACGCAGATCTGCTTAATCTTGTCACTGCGCAGGTATCGCAAGAATCTTTTAGATTCTAGCGTTGGCAACTTGACTACCTACGAATTTGACTTTGGGGGCGTAACCAGATCAAGTGTATAAGCGCCTACACTTGATCCGTCATCCACTAAGGCATTCACTGTCTCGGTGATTCCTGGGAAAACAGATCTGCAGGTGGTTGGGGATCCACACCCTCAACATAACTCTCTCGGGAGTTATCAATCTCAGGAACGCTGGAACCTTCTTCCATTACGTGAACTACCACAGTCACGTCCTTTTCACTCGACTCTCATTTAGTCGATTGGGCTTGCTCTACGACCGACTTTCTTTTAGTCGATCGGGCTTGCTCTACGATCGAATTCCTGATAGTCGATCTCGCTTCAACGTGTTGTTCCTTCTGAATAACACTAGCCTCTCTTATTGTATGCACCCTTCTTAGTGTGCATCCGCGTTCCAGTCCACTCGATCTCTCGGAGTGGTGAACCTTCGGCGCAGCCTGTGTCTCTACACAGGTGCCGGTAGCTGGTTCCACAGTGCAGGCCATTGCACTCACTCCTTGTACATCCACACGCTTGTGGACGCTCCAAGACGTTCATCAGATAGCCATCCGATGTACAAACGGAAGGCATCTTCACGGATCGATGCTACCAGCTGATCCGTGGCTGGTATTGTCGAAGCCATAGCAGACCATGGATGACATCAAATTTGTCATCCAAATCTAGTACGATGAATCCATCATCGTACTGCTTTCCTTCTATCGTGTAGTGGATTCCCACTACACGTTTTTTCACTGATACGGATTCTCCTGTAGCAAGGCACACCGTCATCCTCGTTAGAGGAATATCTTGCTCAACATCGTTTAGTCTACTGTCTTCTAGCGACTGGCGTCAAATAAAACTGTTCGACGCCCCACAGTCATCTAGGGCGCGAAGTCACATTCCACTTGTCACTTCGATTTTCAAAGTGATGATAGAATCCTCATCACTAGGGGCAGTAATACACAGAGACTGTGTGTTAGGAGCAATCTTGTCAAGAGTCCTGCAAATTCTCTTGTTTTGCTGGATCATCAGGGTCCTCCGATTCTACTGACCCTGTCCTTTTTTTGCGGTCCGACTTGCTGTCGCAGCTAAGCGACATGGTCGGACCCACGCCTCGGACCTTTCCTCGGCCAACGGTGGTCATCACGTCCTGTATTAGGACGTGTTGCAGAGCTAGGTACACTGCACTCATGAGCGTAGTGTCCAATCTTCTGACCGCGATGGCATCTTTCTATTCGATTGTGAGATAGAGGGCGAGAGTTCTCGCTCTCGATGTAACAGAGGTCCATTGTTTCCGGACCTCCTGTTTCCTGTCGTCTCGTCCTTAAATAGTTTGACGAGTTAGCCTGAGAATGTATCAGGCTGAAGTCTTCTAGTTTCGCGTACGCTATCGCCCTTTCCAGCGTATGGAAGTCCTCTCGGAACATGTAGGTCTTCACTGGACCATCTACAGGTCCGTAGATGAACCCGTTGCTGAGCGTGTGCTCATCAACAGGGTTCTCCATAACGCTACTTGCAAGGTAGCGCAGGTGCTGTGCGTAAGTGTGCACGTCACGCTTACCTTGCTTTAGCGTCAAGAGTGCAAGGCGTGCTCTGAACTCGGCTCTCGGCGGCTCAAATGTCTCTTTGAGCCGAGACTTCAAGACCTCCAACGACTCAAACACGTTTGGGTCGTGAAGCTTGAGCCCTAAGGCCCAAGTCTTTGCTCGTCCCGTCAAATTTGACAGGGCGAAGGTGACTTGCATTTGGTCACGCTCCATATGACGGGCCCTGAGGGCATCGTCTAACTCGACGACCCATCTTAAAAGGGAATCTTCATCGGTTCCCTTGTACCTTGAGATATCTATCTTTAAGGTTTCGGGTCGACGCATATGCGTCGCCCTTAATCGACTGATGAGAGCCTTGCTGCTGTAGCAAGGCTATCTTCTTTCGTTCGACGGCAAGTTTCCCTTGTAAGAACTTGTTGATAGCAGCATGTTGCTGACCTATGCTTAAAGACTCCAACATACCACTTATGGCGGATTCGCCCATGAGTACACTCAGGCGGCCGACTACCTCCCATTCTGAGTCACTCAGATGGGAGTAGCCTTCACGTGTGACGTGAAAGCTGTAGTCTTCTACGTCCAACATGTTCATGTTGGACGGACACTAAGTAGTCTTTGGACGGACTACGAAGTGCTACAAGGTGTAACGGGGCACCCTTTGTCTGAAGGCCACGAAACTTCACGTACACTAGTACATGCAGAGGAAGCTAATCTGGTGAAACGGGGCACTCTATGTCTGGGTGCCACGAAACTTCACGTACATTAGTACGTGCTGAGGATGCTAATCTACTTAAACGACTCGTTTGAGTAAAGGGTAAAAATAGAACTGTCTTTAACATAGTTAAGCTATCAATGTAACCTCAGTCATTATCTCACAATATTAAACTACTTCGTCGTATGACGACAACCTGCTCACCACTCATTGCGCGCGTCTAGCAGCCATTGGTGGCAATCTATGGTTAATATGTCTTTTATCAACCAATCTTTGAGCAGCGCATGAGTGTTGTATAAGGGGATAATGTTCCTTCAATATTATCCATCTCAGATAATATTGGTAGGATACTGTCATGCTACACGATATTCCTATTGACACCGTATAGTGTAAATTCCATGTGACGGGATAACCCGTTACACTTACCAGCCTAAATTCAGACTTCTACCATATAATTTCATCAGCGGCTTGATACTTGTGTGATATACCATGCGATGAAGTGTATTCGGACAACGACGGGCAAAATGGCGAAAGTCGCAAAGCTAGATTTGCTAACGCTCAACGGTAGTACAGAAATTGTCGTTGATAAACGCGGGCAGGATATACGTAATCGTAGAAATCCATTTAAGGCTTGGTAGCGTGCAACATTTTGCCTGCAACGAGTCAACGTGGGAAAGCAATGGCCATCTCGGTAAGCGATAAACATTTCCTTAACGTTTATATTTATTACGTAGTAAGCTAGGTGATACCTCATTTGTTATGACTCGTAAGAATATCTTTACATTTCGAATCGGCCTACAAATTTTTTCACCATTATTTTTTCTGTAGGTTTGTTGCGGCAAAGTCAAAATCAGCAACATTTGCAACTTATAGGTTAGTAAATGCGTCACTCACCCTTGCGTTGAACAAATTTGCCTACCTAAACTTACCCGTAAGGATGATTGGGGTGCTGCCATGTAACGTGGACTTACGCAGAGAACGGTGAAACGAAGGTTTATCAAGGAGCATTTAAGTATGTGCCGGCCCAGTAAAAGGGTTGACAGTTTAGAAGGAGGAAGTCGTATCACTGGACCTTCGTGTATTATGTATAGGTAAGAGATCTTATGGGGCGCTTTGCCAAAGGCGAGGGAGACGTGTTAAAAAACCATTTTATAACATCGAATTAATGTGTCATAGGGGTGCTTATATCGATTCCAGATATTGATGCAAATTTCTTTACAGATGCAGAAAATTTGGTGGGATTTAGCTCCTTAACACCCGATCAGCGAACGCACATACTTCCGACATAACTACGGATGAACAGCTCCACCAGTGGAGTACGCTACTATCGTACTAATTAGAAAGTTTTTTGCTCCAAGTAAAGGCAAGAAGCAAGAGGTGTAAGTCTTTTCCACATTCAAGAGAGCGTCGAATGTAACGGGGCACCCTGAAGCTTGTACTGGTGACAGCACAAGCTACTTATTCTGATGACAGAATAAGGCGGTGCCGCGTAACTTCACGTACACTCGTACGTGCAGAGGAAGACGGTAAGAAGAAGCGAGTACTTGGTTAAAGTGAAAAGTAGAACTGAATTTATAAAAGTTAATGTCTGCAATAAATCACTATTTTTCTTCATCTAACTATGTCTAAATACAAATGTGCATATCAGCGAACAGCTCACCACTCATTGCGTGCGTCTGTCGTGGCGCGTCTTCGTTGGTTGATATAATGGCCTATATCAACCAATTAGGAACTACTCGTAAGTGCTACAGAATATCTGTCCTTATGACAATATTCTGAGAATATAACTCTTATAGTTATATTCTATTAACAATTTCTCATAAATTGTTATGTAACGATTCACCCCGTTACATCGAAACTTGAATTGGATCCATAAAGCCAGATCATGGCAGACTAAGACCTGTTTGGCCTCGACGCACACTACTTAGAATTTCCCTCTATGGGGCAATAAGTGCCCTAACACCGTGACACACGGGAATTCGCCTAGCCCAGCGCCACCACAATCGATAATATGGTCCCGGTGGGGAACGAAGGTCATTTTTGTTAGCATAAGCGAGCTTGTTGGCGCCTCTTACGAATTTTTGCTGCAAAGAAGCAGTGGCTTTGAGACGTGGTCTTCCCATTGAGACGATGATAATGCAAGTGAAATGTTCGAAACGACGCAAGTGGCAGAAAGACCTCACCTCGTCCACACCCCATTCTTTCCAGAAGAGCAGACATGTTGTACGAATTTAATCTCCTCCCTTCCAGCAGAGCAGACATGTATTACAATTAAATCTCCTCCATCGGCTTTAATGTCATACTTGTGACTGTCCTTGGCTTTCGTCGGATCGCAGAAATTCAGTCGATTTAATCCACTCTTTCTTCAAAAGTAATGTTTACGCTTGCTTTTAGTATCGAAAATAAAATGCGGAAAGTCTCTTTTTGCCACAACGTGGTGTCTCGATCAGCAAGGCGCACATCCACCACCCACGTCCCATACGGACACGCGCATCCGACTGTTCAGTCAATTCCGTGACGCACCCATCCTGCCATCAACTCAAAAGTCTCTGCTCTCTTGCTCACTTCTTCGCCGATGGCCGAGTGCTCACCACTCACGTCTCCATCGTCGCAGCGTCAGCTACAGTCACTTCAGGACTACGGATCGCTGACCATGACGCCGACTCAAAGTGACTCAAAGGTGACCGAGCGCTATCACCGGTCGCAGGTGTCGCATGCATTTCTGCTGAAGAAAGAAGAGACGCAGCATCTCGCAGCTTCCTCTCTGGGCTCGACTCTGCCCGTACTTGCTGCCATCAATGCGTCACTTTCGGCCAATGTGGTGCGTCTCCATTGTTGGTGTTGAGTATCATCAAGTTATCCGTGGTCGCAGACTCTTTAATATCATAGAAATGCACTTTATTTACGTGCGCATTGTGTACGTGCTGTGCTGTATGTGGATAGACCCTCGCTCTGGTCAAGATCTATGCAGCGTGGACAAGTAATTCATTGGCCGTGCTATCGTCTCTGGTGGATTCGATCCTTGATCTCACGTCTCAAGCGCTCTTCTGGTACTCTGACAAGCACATGCACACGCCAAGCGTCGAATATCCCGCTGGCAGACGGCGTCTCGAGCCGATTGCAGTGATTGTATCAGCCACTCTCATGGGCATGGCAGGTGAGCTGGTAGCTGCTGCAGTTTTCCTGGATGAATTTTATGCTGACATGGTACCTTTTTTGTAGCTCTCGAGGTGATCCAGCAGTCGGTGAAAGCTCTTGTCGAGGGACTTAATGGCAAGCAGCGCGAGGTAGACATCTCGACTTTTACGATGGTCGTGCTGCTCGTTGCGATTCTAGTCAAGCTCGTGCTGTGGTACGTTTGTGCCAAAATCGCGTCACACTCGCCTTCAGCTGATGCTTTGGCACAGGTAAGGGTCCCTTGCTGCTATTTACTTTCCGATGCGCGTCTGCATTCTCGCCATCAGGCATCAGTAACAAACGATTTTGGTCTGCACTGTCTGCAGGATCATCGCAACGACGTCTTTAGCAACACCATCGCTATTGCGGCTGCCTTTGCCACGCACTGCCACTCGAGTCTTTGGTATCTCGACTCGATTGGCGCGGTCGTGATCTCTGTGTACATTGCCGTCAGCTGGTTAGCAACAGGAAAGGAGCAAGTGGAGCGCCTTGTTGGCTTGCGTACGTAGTTTTTTGCAAAGTGTATTGCAACGTACACGAGTAGTAGACTTCTGTCCTGACGCTGTGTGGCTGATTGTCTCATGCAGAGGCGACCCAGGAATTCATCGACCAGATTCGTCTGCTGGGTGATGTTCATCACCCCATGATGAGGACAGACATTGTGCGGGCATATCACTTCGGCAACAACTACTTGGTGGAGATGGAAGTTATTCTTCCAGAGGACATGTGCGTCAAGGACGCTCATGACATCAGCCTGAGTTTGCAGCATAAAGTAGAAGAGTTAGACAATGTGGAGCGCGCATTTGTGCATGTAGACTATCTGGAACGAAACTACGACGAGCATAAAGACCCCACTATTCGGCGTGACTCGGCGTAGTAGGCAATAAAAGCGAATTAAGACGTTTTTCTACTTGGCTATTAGATTATTTTATTTGTTAAAAGATGGCTCGCACCAGTATACAGCTAGCTTATTTAGCATAAAGTATCGGCTAGAGTGTTTGCGGGTGCCCTTTCATTTTTTTGATACAGCACGAATTATTCAAGCTAGTACTTATGACATCATGCCGTTTGATACTGCCTTTAACTTCACCGGCGCACACGAAGGCCGCTCTGGTCGGCCAACCCCATCACTTGGACCTCGTGCGCCGCTATCACAACCGACGCCAGCAGTATATTGCAGGTGGTCGAAGCACGACAACAGTTTAAAGGGGCATTAAATTGGTAAACGATAATTTAATACAAAGGCATTAGATTGTCGTTTGCCAACACCGGCCATTACTCGCAGACCTACCGGCGACCAAACCGTCGATATTTGAGCGGACTGCACATTTTATGACTGCATTAATCGTAATTGTTTCTTATTCTTTGTAATCGACAGTCATGGTGTAGTTGGAACTAAAACAAGCAGGGGATAAAATATTCACACAAGTGCCCCTCCCGCTTTAGATGGGGCAGGAAGGGCCTATCCCGCATCCCATCCCGCGCCGGACGGGATATCCAGTCGGATATTGCGGGACAAGTTCGCTTGCATTTCAACCTACGATAACTTTGATGCGACCAGATCTGCATACACATGAACGCCTCCGTATGCTGAGGGTACCTCCAGATGATAATTTTAGCGAGTATTTTTTATCGCGCTGTGATCAATACTTACCAGCTACAACAAGTGTAGAAGCAGAAATGCCTTTACAAATATCAATCTAATCAGCCAATGACGTACTTATGCAAGCAGGGTTCTTCTTAAACGTGGTGAACGCAGGAAGAGCAACGAAATTAAAGAGGTCAACCACGCTTATCAACATCGAATCATTTGAGCTACTGAATTAGCAATGACTTGGGTCATTCTTGGCGGAAGCCTTAGGCGATACAATCACTCTAAAGCGATCTTGACGCATGGTGAAATAGTAACTTCTCGACGAGGCTTTTGGGCAATCATTTAACTCCCAAAATTAACTCACGTCACCAAGTAGTGAATTCGTGAGACTTGAGTAGACAAGGACGTCAATCGGATCATCGTTAAAGGCAACTAAACTAATTTTGCAAGCGATTAAAAGTGCCTTGATGCATAACTTGGCAGATAGGTCAAACAATGCCATAAATTGTTGAAAATTATAATTTGTGCATATAAAATCATGACATCCTCATTTTTCATTCTCTTGATTTTAAAAGAGTGATTTTAGTAGAATACCAACTCCATCCTTAGTTGACGTATCGCAAAAAAAGTTAGAGAACGCGAGATGTGCGGGACGCGCAGGATGATACCGGCCCATCCCGCGTTCCGTTTCGCGCCCGATTGGATTCGGGATCCGTGGGATTAGACATTCCGGGACGGGTCCTAATCTGATCCCATTTTTCTCAAATTCCACTTTTTCTGTCGAACCCGATATATGTATCCCTGCCCTATTCTGATCCCATTTTTCTCAAATTCCACTCTTTCTGTCGAACCCGATATTTATATCCTTATTATCATCGTTGTTTCTGGCTATAAAAATATCCGTTTCTAAAATATTTACTTATTTTGCACGTGATTGACATATATTTACAATTAGCCGTATAATGACATTGCGCATGATAGACATTAAAAACGTTGTCGACCTTTAAAGGCGTCAATAATCTGGTCATACATAAGGTGCCAGAGCAAACAAAATTTTCGTGCAAATCCGGCTCGGCACATACATGCTGCCGCCCAAAGGCAGGCAATTCCAAAATTTACACGCAGTCTGAAACACATAAAATATCGGCAGCATACCATTTACACGGTCGCCTCTAACATGCCAGAATTCCCGATCTTGCACACTTTTGCCCACAAATAGAAAGTGCGTAATTATCGGACTAATACGCTGTAAGTGTCGATGACTATTTATGCGCGCACACCTGCATTGCGTCGAAAGAAATATGTAGTAAAGAGACATAGCTTGTGCAATTATTTCCACGCTACGCGCTGAGCTAACCATACTGACGTAGGTAGGCGTAGTGAGTGCAGTAATGACTTGTGCGTGCAGCTAATTTATACATCCAAATAGTGGATATGATGACATTTTACAAAGGAATTTAGTCAGGAGTTTAGAAGTAGTATCCATTGACCGTAGAAGATGCGGAAATGGACCGAACGAAAGTCACAAGATCACGAGGATGGTACCATAAATTTGTGATGAAGTGATGTGATGTTGTTGTTTATGTTACAGAAGCGTTAGATAGTAGTGGAATTGTACATTAGAACGTACTACCATATGTAGTAGGATGCTCGGAGATTATTTGTATGATGAATTTGTTCCAAATCCCTCACAACAATCCTTGCGATATCATGTGAACACGCAATCATACCTCCAGGAAAATACCTTCATTAATTTACTATTATGCAAAGCTAGGTGAGCAAAATATAGACCTCGCTCTTTGATGTGATTAATCAACTTCGGAGAACTGATTCGAGATGCAAAAGATTGTACTCCATCACACAACGAAGAATGAGAATGATGCCGTTAATGTCTGTATTCACCCAGCACAGCATTTTCAAGCAACACGATCAGCTTTTACTTATGAGCGTTAAGCATGTAATTATGTGGTCACATTTACGTGTGATAGATCGTAATTCAATCACAAGCGTGTGTCACAATAGTGACATTGCCAATGAAGAACCTCATTTATGCCTATATACCCATGAGGGGGGTGCAGTTAGCACACACACATCCAGACGGACGGATAAGTACGATTTAAAAAGGTTGGCATGTATTGCGCACAATCAGTAATAGCTTCACTCTTCGGGCTCGCAGTTATTAGAGCATATCACATGGGCGCTCCTTTTCACTGATGCGAAATTCGGTAGAACAAGGGTGTAAATTGATATTAGTGATGAAATCTAGAAACTTCAGATTGTTTTATGTAGAGAGTAAGCATGAGCAATAGGGAGTATAGACTTGGCTAAAGAGGTGTAAAAATCAGACTTGACAAAAAGGAGTGCATGTATCAGGTTTGGCAAAGGGTGCGGATTTAAGGAGATGTGCTGTGAATATATCAAAAACCCAACAAACATAAAGTAGACCTTCCTATGATTCATGGCTTCCATTTGAGCCAGCATGATTGATGTGATGAGTACACTTGAAGGAATCGATTCTTGGTAAGCTGACTACAGCTGACGACGGCTGGTTCAATAACGTAGCGGATAGATTACTGTAGGTGAAAATGGTTAAACGATTCGTTATCAATCAATTTGCTACAGCCTACTATTGCAATTCTGCAGCACAAATACGTAGGAGGAAAGAATTGATGCTAAAAGCTAAGTTGTTTTGGTAATTAATGGTATCAAGGAGGTGTTCCAGACCCAATTTCAATCAAACATATACCCCACAGCATGAAAGTACCGAACCGAAATTGGCGGGAAAGGAGCACTCGGAAAGGGCGTGATGGGTTTAATATTGAAGCGTCACCTCAAAATCAAACCTATTAAGCCCATTTCGAGACGAGCTGTACTGTGCGGTATCAAAGAAACTTGACAAGCTTAAGGAATTCCTTCGTCTCAAAGCAAGTTGATGGCCTATACACGCGTGGTTTAGCCTTCGAAAACATGGCCTCTTGGTACGACCTCGTTTTGGCAACACAATTACAGTACCACAGCCAGATTCAACCCGTCTAAGCTTTTTCATCCTGTCGTCCAAACCCATTCAACTTGACGCAATGAGTGAATCTAGTCAGTTTCCCACTATTTCCCATCCAGCAAAATCATGTAGCAGGTAGGCCCATGCATGTGAGAAAGGTTTTACAATTGGCGTACATCGGCAAAGTGAGATAATTTACTTTACATACAAATGGGGAGGAAAACATCGCACCAGTCTTCTAAGAAACCATCTCTTAGGAAATAAAACAATAGTGGGATGTCCTTGAGGTGTGAATACGCTGTGCGCAGGGAGAACATCGCACCGGTATTCTAAAATATCACCTCTTAGAAAAGACAACAAAGAGTGGGCTGTCCTTGCGTGCTCGTCCTCCTTAAATAAATGAAAAGCAGGTCAGCCACACTGTTTGTGATTGGCACGAAAGCCACCATGTCGCAGCCATAAAAACGAATTGGCCTTCCGCTCGACAGGCTCATAAAACTATCATCGTTGTGGAACACATCTCAAAACTTCACGATATCGGTGCAACTGGGACTATAAGGTCGAGCGTCCCTTTGAAAAGACTATTCCGTCAGGACGATGGACGCAATACCACATCTTACCAGCAAAAGCTGAAACAGCGGCATGGATTAATTGCATTAGAAATCTGAACCTAAGTGCTTGAACATAAACCAGCTATGATGACGTTGAACCTGACCTGCGCAACAGTGCCATGCACATATTCTGCCAGCCTAAGCCAATAATGTAGTTTATACGGAGATGGTTGAACAAGCACCGCGTTATTCTTCTTATTGACTGCACGTACAAAATTGACAAGGATATGGTAACTTGAATGTACGCATCGCGTGCTACTAATTAATGTGGTTGCACTGTTGTAATTTGCCCGACTTTGGTTTCAAGATTATCACATGCCGTTTGTCCAAATGAATATTGCGCTTACTCAAATCCGTTGGTAATTAAGCACAATACAATCAGGAGCTATATACCATATTTTGCTAGGCTACCCACATGTGTGAAGCCTTAACATCTATTTTTCAGGTACTTCACTTATTTTTGGGTTCCCACCATAAAAGCTCCTACACAAAATGGAGCCATCTCAACGTGACCACAGACTATCGGGGATAGATTAGTAATCGACTTGCATCAGAAAAATGGAGCCATCTCAACGCGAATGCAGGGATTCAGAAGTGAGTTGGTTATTTACTTGCACTAAAGCAGCTGAGCCTGTACTTTCCAGGCTGTGTAGAGGCATCGTATGCTATGTGCTTATACTGATCACGGTTATCCCAGATTCATCAAAATGACTCCGTAGCGACACCACACGTACTCCAGCATCAGTAAGCGACTGTTTCGTTAATTCAACAAGCTCGAAAAGTGCGCTGCACTTTGAAAAGACCTCTAAACAAACGCGGGACAGCGCTCGGCGAGCCGCAGCATTGATACAGACGCCAACAATACTTGAAGACACGACGACGAGGAGTAGGTCTTAAACTACCAACGTACCACCGCCTAGCGGTTGATAGGTTGCTGCTCTTTCGGGCGTGACCAGTTGTTCTCAATTTTAAACAATATTCTTAGCAGCAAATTTAATTGCCGACGGTAAAAACAAATTCAGTTGCCGACATGTCTCAGCATGCGACCTCCGACAAATTCTACCCGTGAGTAATACTTGCTGAGCAGCATCGTACTAGCATCGTACCTCTTATGCATTGATAATCGACCAGCGTTCATCTATGTGTAGGTCCCGATCGAAAGCAGCATGATGGACACCGAAACTCTTGCTTTGCTGCAGCTCGTAGTTGCATCATTGTAATTTTTAGCAGAGCCAATTCAAAACTATTAGTTATGTTTATAAAATACATTTAGGCAGCCTAAACAGCCGTCACATAAGGTGGCAAGCCCCCGCTCGATGACCGGAATCTACCATAGAATTAGCGCGGAAAGTTGCCAAGGATATCCAATGTGGTTTTATAACACCTGCTTCATCTATATAAACAGGAAATGAAGCAAGGCAAAATGCGAAGCAAATAAGGCGCGACAGTAATACTTGCTGAGCAGCATCGTACTAGCATCGTACCTCTTATGCATTGATAATCGACCAGCGTTCATCTATGTGTAGGTCCCGATCGAAAGCAGCATGATGGACACCGAAACTCTTGCTTTGCTGCAGCTCGTAGTTGCATCATTGTAATTTTTAGCAGAGCCAATTCAAAACTATTAGTTATGTTTATAAAATATATTTAGGCAGCCTAAACAGCCGTCACATAAGGTGGCAAGCCCCCGCTCGATGACCGGAACCCCTGATAAAATAACTCGATAACCTGCGACGTGTCATGCTTGAATAGACACGTCGGTTCCCACTTTGTATTTAACGAACTGCGAGGCGGTCTCCAGCCGAAGATATCTCAGACTATCTGCGGGTCAAAATGCCACCCTCAGCCACACATGCAGTGCATGTCCGTGTGATAAGGCTGCTAGGTGTAACAGCTCGTTCTCATAAATTTTGCAGCTGGATAGGCTGACATGTGGATTTACCTACACGCATGAGTGACACAGTGGATAGTGGGACCAGAACACCATTGCACCTGCTACCAGCGGACACAAACAGATACAGCGGTCGCTTGGAGTGGATGGCAAGGGGTGTGGGAATCGAACAGAAGGCGGATGTGGTGGGTACTCTGCTTGGTATACATCACAATCTTATGAACATAACGAAACCGAGGAGATCAGCACATTTATAAAATATTCTGGCCTTATGGATGTAAAGATCCCGGGTCATTCACGACCAGACTAACGCATCTCTGGAAAATGGTACGTAGTAAGTCAATTTTGGCCGCTATCAAGAAGGGGGCGTTAAAAGCAACCTACGCGCGTCAACGGCATTTGGCTTTGGAATGTGCATTGTACTGCTCGATATTTAATCATGATGAGCATAACATATGTGGTGGAAACGTTGAAGTTGTTCGTATCTTAAACGTCGAAAGATCTGGTTTTGGTATTTGCACCGTTAACTACTGGACCATACGGGGCATTGGCGCAGCTAAGTCTTGGCATGTGGAATATTGGTGTCTCGTACACGTTTATTCCGTTGGATATTCAGTCTTTTACATTCTAACTTTGTTTTTGTAAAAGGTATCGCTCGACGATTTATTCTCGGCGAATGCGGGAATTAGCTTTGAGATAACGAAGACGGGCACACACAAAAGCACACGGTATTAGTATGGATAATCCTTTTAACACCCTCCATACTTTTCCTCGTCGGGAGGTTGAAACGAAGCTTGGATATGATTGTGTAAAGCCACTTATAATTATCGGATCGATCGAAAACGCAAGCGCTGCTTTCTTTACTTAAGACATCATGAATATCTTGCGGCAATCACAACATTACATGGAATCCTCTTAGCCACTTTATCAACAGTTCGATTTGACTGACAAATTTGTTGACGCACCAGATCCTTACATTTTCTAGCTATACAAGTCAGGTCGTATTAATTCAAAAATTGTTTAAAGTCTATCAGCGCGATGCGTGCGTGGGTAATACCGAATGGGTGATACCTTTTCGTACGGCTCTGACAAATGAGCCGTGTTCGCTACCCACATGTTAACCAGTGGATCTTAATGAAGATTTTAGTACGAAAGCGGTGGCGAATTACTTATAGTCAGAAACAAGCATCACGTAGCGTACATGCGTAGAAAACGAGATAGTTAATTTGTGGTTGGCTTGGTGACTCATAACGAAATTTTTACATTTGGAGTATCAGGGCGCATTATTACAACCGTGAACCGAAGCAGGACCTAAGTAGTTCCACAGATCGTCTTATCGGATGCGGCATCTGTAAAAGGCATTGGTCCACGAACCAGTAAAGCCGCTGTTTGGATAAAAGCATGCAAAGTGCCTGGGAGCGCCAAGTCAGATTTAAATATGCAAATAGCCTAGAGACCGTTGAGTGTCGGCCGGTGCTCTTTTCCTGTTGAAACCGCCAGCAATGGTGTCACAACGAAGTCGACAGAATCTCGCTATTTTTAGACTCGCATGAAAGCTGAATGATTGATGAGACGTTCCTCCGAGCCTCGATGGTGATCAGAAACAGATTCCCGACTACTGGTCTCATGCTTACTGATCGTCATCTTTTGCGCACGTAGAGCCTTCTCGTGTCCACTACATTCGCACAATAATAAAGGTGTGTGTAACAAGTTGGAGCGTTCTGTTGCTTCTCATCCCACTGACATCGCTCAACCTCTTCACCACTCACTTTTCAATTTGTTGCTTACTGACAAGGACAACAGCTTTTCAAGAACTAAGGGAAATGCACTGCTCTATCTACGCCGCGTCCACGGCAGCTGTCATGACGGCAGTCGCCTTCGATTCTGTCCACGCCCACGGATACGTGTCCAAGCCAGCTGCTCAATTTATCGATCCTGCTTCATCGACCACGTACGTTAAGACCATCACGGCCGACGTCAATAGTGCCTTTGGCGGACTAAAGTGGGACGATAGTCCGGAGGCAAACACCGCGACCTTTAAATCGTCGTTCGCAAACACAGGCTACAAGTCGCTGAGAGACATGCTCGACCAGCAAGTACCGGGTTGCGCCAACACTCGGACTGACATTGCGCCAGTTGACGTGGCCGGCCTCACCGTCATGAACTGGCAAAACGACAAAGAGCACAAGGGATTTATCGACTCGCACCATGGTCCGTGCGAAACCTGGATTGACGACACCATGGTCGACCGACAGGAAGACTGTGTTGCGACGTACGGCTCTGGATATCCTGCCAGCATAAATGTAGACTTCTCCCGATGCTCAGGCGCATGCACCCTTCGTTTCTACTGGCTTGCGCTTCATGAGATCAACTGGCAGGTCTACAAGCAGTGCGTGCCGATTTCAAACAACTCAGGGGCGCAGTCGCAATCGCAGGTGCAGGGGACAGTCGTACCCGCCGACATCAAACCTGACACCCCTGTCCCTGACACGCCTGCCCCAGCGATGGGCATCGAGAGTCAACATGGATGTCAGAATCGTACCCTTCGTGCTGTAGATGATCCTCCTACGCATTTGGCTAACGGTGCAGAGATCGAGTGGACTGACAGCCGCTTTCTTCGCGAGTTCGACGAGTTTGCCACCAATTACCAGATGAGAAACTAAGTGAGTTTTGATCGGGCCAGCATTTGATCTGGCTAGTTACGCAGTTCTTCTCGGAGCGGAGTGCAGACGTGTAATTTACGCGCAGTGCAGAGCATAGGGTGAACATAACGAAACGTTTTTGCCCGAAGCGTTGCATACACGACATTGTGCCAGTTGAGCCACAGTATAGCTGAAGCAGTGAACGTAATTTTAATGCAATGAGACAAATCAGTCTGGGGTAGCCCGTTCGTTTATGCGACGTTCACTCTGGCAGCCAATGCTACTGGTTAAATCAAACTCATTTGCCTCGATGAAAAGATGGGCGGTCTAGAGGTTGACAGATCGACTACGGCAAAAAGTCTGGTGTCAAAGCGACGAAAAATATCACACTCACCTCAGGGAAATGTGCGCTCGTGCCCACAGGAAATTGTATGCAATGGCCGATACGTCGTGACAGTATGAGAGTGCTTGTTTTAACGTAAGCATGTACTTGGCACGTTATCAATAAGAAACGGTACTTAACAATTGGTGTGTGATGCCTAACCATTAGTAGCGTTAAAGTTATGAAAAAGACATTAACCATTTAGGGACCGATTCGTCGTCAGCTTTTGATAAAAGTGCCATAGCCCGTCGAGTGAGATCTCTTAAAAAGGCTACATTTTCGTCGCCACGACGCATCTATTCGTTTTTGATAAGCCGAGAAATGGCAGGTTTTCATACAATGCATCCGTAAAACTGGCAGCAATATTTCCCCACCACTTGCGCCTATACGCATGTGCGAACGTCCCGGATAAACTTTTTGCCTACTATTGATAATTCGTCAACATATAAAAGGTATAAGTTACACCTCTTTTGCTTGACATGAAACCCTCTGTTAAACCTGATATTCACATCCTCCCCGCCAAACCTGATATTTTCATTTTTGTCAAGGCTAATATTACAAAACTTCTCCTCATAATTTCTCTAAGTGTACAGTCGAAAGATTATGCCTAATATTCTGTTTCTTCTTTTCGTATCCTAATCCGACTTTTATTTCGCTAGAAAATGGTGCACCGTAAAGGGCCATGTGACATACAATCTTATAATCGAGCTACTATACAAAAGTAAGGAATGTGTAATTTTCTGTTCGTGTAATATTGTAAAGGGTGTTTAAATTTAGGCAAAACGTCATCATTATCGTGGTCATCGCCATGCCAATCAATAGCACGAACCATATACACCTTTACTATAGGTTTTCGATTATGTACCATAACTATAAATCATTCTCCGTTAATCAACTGTTATGGCTAATTTCCTCGACCACATAATTTGTCTGAAAAGTTCTCCTTCACAACGCCCACACGGAGCCTCAAAACTAGTAAAAACGTTTCCAGAATTTACGATTCGGATACGCAAAAAAAACTGCAAATATATTGCTGACTCAGAACGCCTAATTGTGTCATTGTGCTCAACATAGGCAACTTTCTCGGTTAGGAGCGCGGAACAGACATGCAAGCAGATTCTCTTTCAACGGATTCTGAACGATTAAAGAAGGGAGCCGCTAACCAGCACTAACCAGCACTTTCCTTTGGCTAACCTCCACCTACTTTGTCGATACAAAACCTCTAGGCTCATTTTCAAGGCCTGTGATTGGCTGGACCACTCAATTTTATCACGAAAACACCAATTTGCCGCCGCCAAGTTTCGGCAGCAATTCACTTTCCATTACACTTCAATTTACTTGCAATGAACAACCTGAACAACTTGGAACTACTTAAAGAGCTTGGAGAGCGTGTGTTTTCTACCCTGGACGAGGCTCGTGCGACAGTAGACTCCCAACTGCAATATGAGAGCTTTGTTTTGACTATCAAGTATACTCAGCGGGTGGGTTTCAAAAAGAGGGTGATCAAAGCAGTGGTTATCTACTGTTCGTGTGAAAGATAACGTTTACGGCAACAGCTCAAGGAAGAAGCAGAACAGCAAAAGTGCAAACGCGTGCGTGGCAGCCGTGGAATAGGATTTAACTTAAACTGCACCATACGCCGTCAAATTGGCACAGAGTGAACGGTTTTTCTATAACGAGTAGAACAAACATGCACCCTTTGCCGACCCGCTCTACTTCCGGCCCAACGCAAAGAGGTTATCAGGCTTGCTTTAATTGGGCTGCGACCAACGCACGTAATCAGTACAAAGCGCAGACAAACTGTGAGAGTGACCCCTATTGATGTGTACAGCTTAATTCAGTCAGAGCGCGACCGCAATCTGGCTGGTCACTCTCCTGTCCAAGCGCAGCTGGACAATCTTAAGGAAAACGAGACCGAGTCCCCTTGTTCAAGCACTTATGTTACCAACAAAGGCTCACGCACCAGTTCATTGTCTCGAAGTAAGTCTACAGCAAGTTTTCAGCGGGAAAAAATGGTCGAATGACTTAACTTACGAGACTAAACGTGTTGGGCTGCCATTCATGCACGTTGTAGGCGTGACCGCCAGATCCCAGACGTTCTCGTTTGCATACTAATTCATAAAAGACGGACAGAAGAGGATTACCTGTGGGCAGTGCAGCTTGTGATGCGCGTTTTGGAACAGCTGGGGTAATTCCATTTACCTTTGTTTTTAATCGGGAATTAGTCTCGATAAACTCGCTTGACAATGTGTTTCTCGATGCTGAATTCCTTCTCTGCCGCTGGCATATCAACGATAACATTTCTGCCGATCTAGACGGTCGATTGACTCAATGAGAGCCTTTCAGGAGCTAATCAAGCAGTGGATCTCTCCTGCATATTTTAACACGGTGGCATGTTATAAACAGCAGTTCGAGGCTACCGAGAAATGGTACAACTTCATGTCATGTCCTAATTTGAGACTACATGGCTTATCTTAAAGGAAAGGTTCGTAGCTTGTTTTCTGTGAGGTAAGCTTCACTTTGGTCATGCCACCACGTCAAGGGTAGGAAGTCGGACTTAAAATTGTTTCGGGCGGGTCCATTAGGACACAGCCAATGTCCTTAATCCTGCTGGGCGGCCGCGGCCGTCCTGCAGGTTTCTTGAGGAGACCACAACGTGCTACCTCTACCTTCACACTGAAATAATTCTCGCAGTTTGAGGTTGTTAAAGCATCTGTAGGACCAGAAAGAAGATGTGGAAAGTGCAATCAGTCTGGTCACAATGCTCGATGTTTTCTTGCAACCTCCTGCATATCCCGCATCTCTCTAATTTGAAGAAGAAGGTAGACAGACAAAGCTCAAATAATTTAATTTTAATGTGGTTTCCGGGCGGGGCAAATTAGTTTTCGTGATAATGTAGAGTTGTTCCAGGCCATCACGGGCCTCAAAATCGATTTCAGGGGCTTGACATCGACAAGATGGTGGTGAGCGGAAGGTGAGTGCTGGCTAGCGGGTCCTTTATAGAAAGTACAGGTGTGATCACCAACCCACACAAACTCAAAGCGTCTAATTTACGTGTACGCGTTACATTTGCGAGCAAAAGCATGTACTATCAAAGGTGCAGGTAGCGTGATAGTTTCAATTGCGTCATGGGAATACTGTCGGTATCCTAATTTTTATAACTAACCATTAAATCAGGTAATGGTCTGCTAGCTTAATAGCAGAATGCATCTGCTGACCCGGAACAAAAACAACTAGTGTACATTTACAGGCGCCCTTAACTATATACGGCTAAATGACAGACCTTCTAGAAGTATTATAAATGTAATGTCTAACATTTGCGTGGTGATTAATAAATCTAGAAACTACATATTATTATAAGAAAACGAACATTAGATAACCGAGTGCAAGTATCGAGTATAACTGGAAAGATGTTAATTAGGGAAAGGAATGTGAATATATCAGTGAGCTATACATATGCTATATGGTATAGTGCTTAGTTTAATCTGCGGTTGTATAGTCTTGTACTAACAATACAACAATCGCCAAGCAAGTCGGCGCATTTGGCCTAGCACGTCGGGATTACTCCCTTTTCATTCATTCATTGCGGGTACGTGTTGCGGATTTTGTCCTCGATGAGTACCCACAACCACTCTCACTTCAAGAGCCTACACGATCTCTTCAGCTTTCAATTTACTAATTGTGTGACGTCACAAAATTGGGTGGACGCCTGTGATTTACGTGCTTGCAGGTCACCATGCGCAACATAATCCCTATTTTTATATTTCTACTTTGTCCTTAGTTAATTACACACTGAACCTCTTGTCGACGAATCTAAAATAGTATCATCTATTGGGTAACTGGATTGCTGCTCGATAAAAATAAAACGGTGTCTTTAAAAAGGGACCGGGTCGCCGTGCGACAAAATAGAACTTTTGCAGGAAGCACGTTTCGCCAACTCGGACTGACCTATCGTTTAGCGCTTTCAGCGAAATTAATGCAATATGTGCTTCTCGAATTCGCCGGGAGACACATTCCAGCTCACGCAGGGACTATCCGAAAGACTATTGATATGTCTTCTACTTGTAATATTCTGCTCTGTTTTGAATTTATCTCTATTTCAATTGGAGGTGCCTATCGTCTGGATCCCTTTCATCTCCCTGATTGTCCTATACAATAACCGAGTGTTGTAGACTGTCGAGCTTCTATCTGTAATTGTTGTGTTAAGACTAAGAGAAGGTAATTACCTTCTCTTAGTCTTAACACAACAATTACAAACAATAAAGCCATAACGCGAAGACCCATAACTCGACAAGCCTTCACTCGACATGCCTTCACTCGACGAGCCTGAACCCGAATAATTTACTCGAGGAATTATTAATTGTTTACTTTTTATCGTTCAGCAAATACTCGTCGAGACTCGCTTGTCGTGCCTCTCGTATTAAGTACACAACTCTTTCTCGTCGAGCTTCGCATCCGAAATAAATTAATAGTAGAGAATACCACTCAAACATTTCTTGCAAAACTACTTCTCCGACCGTTATAGGGACCTAATCACTATGAGTCTTGACCTGTCATATATGATCACTCGGCACATTGTTCCCTCCCAAGAGTCTAAAGATTAATTACCTACGTTGATGCATGCACAAATAATTTTTGC